CAGAGTCAATTCCGAGACTGTTCGAGCCGCGCCTCTTTCAGTCTCCACGTTTATTCCCCCTCGCGCAGCCTGCAAACACAGGAAATGCAACGTGAAATTCGGTGCACGACGCGCTAGGAAAATCGCTCGCGACGTATCTTTCTTTCCTTTCCGTTTCTCTTTTTTTTGTTTTATCGTGGCATTTGATGGAACAACGGTTACTTGATTACACCAATGAATTTGCGAATTACCACCTACATATTTACGATTAATAGCGATTTATCTCGAAAGCACACATTATCCCACGAACGGTGTTCGCCGGTTGTTGACCGTGCGAATATTACGATCGAAATATATCGCGAGTGCGGAAAATTAAATAAATCTCCGGTCAGCCCCTCGTTCTCTCGCCCTCTCGCCCCTCTCGCCAAACGTTCACAGTTTGTAATTTCGTAATAAATCTGCCGAGATGAATTGCGCATAGCTTCCACGGATAAATTTTCAGCAGTTCGCCTATCGCGGTCTCGATCGCATTTTTCATTCCGCTATGAACCGATTTAAACGTTCGTTGTAATTACTTCGATTCGACGCGATTCCACAAACAACAAACACTCTCGAATGTCATTGTAAAAAAAACTGCGTTTCAGTTGCTGTGATTCGTTGTAAAAATTCAGTATGTTTTTCCAATCGTGTTTTTAATCTCCCTCCGATTCTTCCCGATTCAATTTCTCTGGAGAAGAAAATTCGACGCGTGTAAACAAAAATCTCGTAAGCCGAGGAAGGGCTTGAAGTTCGTAGCCGTTCAAGTCGCGTCCGCCGTCACCCAGATGATTTACGATCGTATTTCTTTCGTTCGAGACGAGAGATTCTCGTGAGAGAGGGTGTGCAAGGGGTCGATGTCGAAAGAGGATCCGGTGTAAAAAATTTCATTAGAGTCTGTCTCACGAGAAGACACGAGGCTGTATTACCTGGAATGTTAGGAGTTTGTTATCCCGGAGCCATTGCACGCCCCTGATGGGCCGCGTCTGATACGGGGACAATATGACGCATCTCAAGGTGATCGTCGACCCCGATGGCACCCTCTGCTCCCGTGGACCCATTATGGCAGCCACTGGTGCCGTGCTCTCGTAACCTGTAAACCATGTATGGACAAATATCATACGACAGGCAACATCTTCCAGTAAAAATTTAGTATGTCCTAGATACAGTTGTGTGGACTTAGAGCACACGGTATTTACACATTTCTTGTCTCGATTGCTGTAATTATATAAAATTAAATTCTCTAACATAATATAATTTTAGGCAATATATAGTTAACGAATATTGACGAAGACAATAGTTTGTATTGAAAAAATAATTCCCCATATAATTAATTCGTGTGTGTATTTAGTCACATTCTAAAAATGTATATAGATGTTATATGTCATAGATGAAGAATTACGTTTGATCTCAGTTATGAATTTATAGTAGAAGAACAAAAATATGAAAAATGTGAAGCTTTTTATCAAATTATGCCAGGCGTGCAAGTACCTACGAACGACAGTGCGTTTATTTATCACGTTAACAAATTTACTTATTATAGCTATATAGCTATATATATAGCTTATTATAGCTATAATGTAGTTGCAATAGAAACTAATATGACCAACCTCGTTAAGAACGATCGTTCAATTTCTGATCGTATATTGTAGTAATAAAATTGAGGAATTGATCATCACGTTGGCATCTAAATGGCTCATTTATAAATATATACAATTTTCTAGTGAATGGAATAATTTTTCGGGTCGTTCGTTCTTTTCAGGGTTTTATTACGGAGACTTGACCAGTTTCGTATATTCCGATTAATGTGCCGTGTATTTAAAAATGCCGTGCTAGGTATGCACGTTCGTTTGAATAAAGATAGCCGCGCGCCATGCGTTTAAAACAATGTTAAACAGCTTATGGGCTGGAGATCCGAGAAGAAAGTAATTACACCGAGGGAGGAACCTGCGGCAAAAAGAACGGAACGTGTTTTATGCCTTTCCGGCTGAAAAAGTAGATTCATTAAAAACCGTGCAGCACGACGAAGTCAAGATTTACGGAACGATGTCACCAAATGAAAAATAGAAAACTAAGAACTACTGCTGCTAATAATTTCTCGCTTTTATTTATCGAAGCCAGGCTCATTAGACTTTAATTAATCTTCGATTAATTGTCGCTTATCGATCTATGGGCAACATTATTTATGAACAGCATCGGATTAAATCGATTTATTTATTATTATATTAATTGGTATAATCCTACTTTAATATTTATTATCCCATCGAATGAAGCATAGTGTACATATTAAAAGATTTTCCCGTTAATGGACCGCTTTAATACGCGCCATTGAGGGTAACCGACGAGTGTTGCGCGATAATTTTACTTAATGAGAACGTTAGCTTTGCCCCTTGAGCCGTGCATACAAGACGGCGCGCAGCTTTACAAAGCATAGCTTTCCAGCGGCGAGAAAGACCGGCAGCGTAACACGGTTTTTCTTTCCTGCAGGACGTATGTACTGTCAAGTTTGTACATTTTAATTTAGAGGGTCGGCACAAGTGGTCGTTTAATATGCGTGCCACCGTGAAACAGCGTGTTCTTCCCTAGCCCGTGCGACGTCGTGTTCCATTCGCCCCAATTCCCGCATTAAATCGAATCACACGAACCTCGTGAAAAGATCGATTTGAAAACTCCGTCAACCAGCAGAAGAAAAAATCCAGTTGAATTTATAAACTGCAAAGATTTCTTGGACCCTTGAGAAAGAACACGCTCAAGGACAGTCTGAGAGGCAAAAGAATCACCACGGGGTAACCTGAAAATCCCTTTGAATGCACCAAGTCGGTGGCAAAGAGATCACAATTACAATTCGAGACTTAAGGCTCGCTATATTAAAACGCGACCTATTTCTACTCTGCCAGTGGAAAAATAAGAAGACAACGAAGAAGAAGAGCGTGGATGGATGGATAAGATGGAGAAGAGAAGGGCTCTGTTCCTCGTTCGCTTCGGGTAGCCGGATCCTCAGTCCGGAAATTGGACTTTGAAGTGCGAAGAAACAAGAGAACCGTCTCACGTAAGGGCAACGACGCGGCCTAATAATTCATTACGAGACGAAAGGGAAAAACAATGGGAGCGGTAGCGCGTGTTTCGCAAGGGATGCCTTTCCCATGGTGTATGTATGATAATGTCGGGACAAGCATACCATACATTATTCAGCGCGAAGGAGATGGCAAAGAGCCGATGACTAAGACTCGTTTAACGTCACGTTCCTATTCTCCAGTAGCCGTGCAAGCACGGTTACGGTCACGGCAGGTGACGAGGAAAAAGACTGGCGAGAACCGGAGGAGGTTTTCCACGACTACTGGGATTAAAGATAATCCTATTAGACTTGAATTAATCCTCGGGGAACTGCATTTCTCCTCGGCGAAATATTCCGTTATTACACGGCCGCGGCAGCCTGTTTTTCCATCGCCGCTCCTGCTTTCTTCAATTCTCGTTCGCTGTTAACTTCGATGATAATTGTCCTCCTATCTTGATGTTTAATTATTATTCGACGTCCTTGGTTGCCATCCTTCATGGACATAAATAGACAACTTGGCGTTCTTTAGAAAATAATCTCTCTTTGCTTTCGAGCTAACGTCTTCCGTTTTTTGAGAATTTCAGATGAAGTTTATATCCGCCTCTGATTTTTATTTCGTTTTATTTCGCGAAAAAGTTCCGTAGTTTTATCGCGCAATTTTAATAAATCCTGGACATAACAGGCGTTCCATTTTGAATTCGAGGATTATTATCTTGAGTAGAATTCATAGTTTCTAGAAAATTGTCGGTCTACTTATTTCGATATAAAGTGGAGACACGATATCTTCTGAATGCATTTCTACCATTTTATTGTACTCTTTCGGAAATATTTTCAATCTTTCAACATCTGTAGCTTAATTCCATCAACGACTCGAAGAATATCGTTCGACTAAATCAATTACCGATTATTCCCGCAGACTTAATCAAAATATTGAAAAATTCTGATAGCGTTATATCGCTGAAGTATATTATAAAGTAAATTTCACAATTTTCTACAAACTATAAAATTCTATTAGTTTTTAATTCAAATACACTTCAATTACGCTTCTTCTATCTAGATACGCAGTAAGTTCTGCTATCTTTAAAAGTTTTAATTTACTAATCATCAATGTATATCCGTTGATTCGCAGTTATCTCTCTCGTCGCTGTAATACTTGGCGTGCAATCTTGTTTAAAAGCACTTTAATCGATTTTCACGGAGATATCTCACAATCAGTTGAGAAAGGGATGCTTGTTTTTCCGCTGCTCTTAAATTTTAACCATCGCATCGATTCGAAGTCGATGCGACGGGGATGAATTTCAGTCGAGAGTTGGAAGCAATAAAGAAAAAGATCGAGAAATCTCGCGTCTCGGGCATGAAATGATGGAACTTGGAAAGAATTATGAAGCGTCTAGAAAGACGCTGCAAGAAGAATCGACGACAGATCCCGGCCGTCAAAGCCAGCGAAGAAGCGCACTTATCTTTAAGTGATTGATGTCGACTGGATCTTGTTGAAGGAATAAGAAGCGTCTATCGGATGATTTTTTAACGGGCCAACAGTGTATAAAGATGGCACGACATCCCTCTTCGCATCAGTAAAATACATCAAACTCCATTAATACCGTCGCATAGTTAAGGGCAGGAAATAGACCGACGTTTGGAAAATTTATCAAACTATTACCATATAACTATACTACACAGAGATCCAATTTTTTTACAGTAAATTTTATTACATTATTTCATAGATATAGATGAGAGGAAATATAAATCGTGCGATGCTTTATTAAAAAATTATTTGGAAAGTACGAAAAAAAGTAACGAGTATCATTTTACAATTAATATAATCAATAGGTATAAATATAGATATAAATGTCCTATTTCAAAACGTTCACCATTTCGAAAATTGGCAGTAAAATGTTGAATTTATTATTCTATGAAGTTCCCTTCTTTTTTTTTTTCTTTTCGTTTCAATAAATGCATCAATTTTTCGTGTGAGTTCGACACAAATGTTTCTTCGAAGTAATCCACGTATTATTATAAAAGTCTAATAACGCGAAATTGATCAACTTGATATTATTTTCTTCGTATTTCCTACTTTTATTATAACTTTTTAATGAAGCTTCGAACTATATATAACCCAAATTTCATGTTATACTCGTGGAACATGGTGACAAAATTTACTGAAAAAATCTGTCCTATATGCATTTAACGATTACGAAAATTTAAATTTATATAGTTGAGTATTACAATTAGAAATGCGGGAATTGGATTTGGTGCGTTGTATAATACATTTCGCGAGAGCGAAATGTGCGAATTGTAGCGGCAAAGTTTCGCTCAATGTTACGAGGGCCGACTGAAATATCTACTAATTTGCTCGTTCAAAAGTTTGTAAATACGTACAAACACGCCGCGATACACCGTATTGCTTTTGAGAGTCGCGTATAATTTGCACGTGGAAAAATTCATTTTCGCGACTTGGGAATTGCGTCGGGCAAAATGCGATTTAAATGTAACGCGCGAATCAAAAGTCGAACGCGTTCCGTTGAAACAAACACAACGAAGGATAATTGTACTTGTAAAGAGTTGGGAAAATCCTCTTTGGAAAGTTCTCACGGAATGAAGATCACACGAAGCGTGAATATTGTATTTTTAAATCCACTGAAAAGTGGATCGATCAGGGCGTCTTGGCGATTTAATTTACGAATTCGTATACGAAAAACACTTTCGTCCTGGGATAGCAGTTGCAGGATAATGTTACAGTTATCGAGTTACCACAAAATGGATGCAGAATATAGAAACTCTGCGCGATACACAAATTTGGATAAAGAACGAAATAAAAGAACTAAAAAAATGTAGAGATTAATTTTGTACGAATATCTGACATGAAAAAGCTTCCAATGAAGTTTTGATTGCATCGTTGACGTTTGCATATCTGCATAGTGTCAGTGTGCAGTATGCAATAAAATGTCAGACTTGCGGACGACGATTTATCGTTGGGTTTTGATTGAAAATATTGTTTAATCTTGCCCCACGTGTATGAAAATATCGCGTTGTCATAGTTATCCAGCTTCCTGTCCGCGACGTTGTTCCGTGCAACCGATAGACTTAAATTTAGTTTGACAAACGCGTCGCTGGTGAAATTAGACGGCGACGATCTTTAAATTTATCTCCGTGTCTATTAAAATCTCCGACACAATGGCGAGGATACTGTTGGAAACGGAACTAATGGAACTCGTTCGCGGCGGTGTACTATTGGACGGAAATAAACCTTCGTTTTCACGATGCTCACTTACTTATTCGCGTCTGCTGAGAGTGTGGCTCGTCGTAACCCTCCGGTTTGTCAGGATCTGAAAAGGAACAGTGGAAACAGTTAGTCATCGAAGTACCGTTTGTCACGCAATTTAGAAGATTTAGGATTAAGAACAACAGAGATAATTCACGATAAGACTTAAATGGCGTTGAAAATATTTAGAATCTCGTCAAATCACCTGTGCGCTGTACCACCCCATTTGAACATAAAAATTAAGAAACTTAAAAATATTTGGCGAATTTCTAGAACTCAAAGTATATGATAGTACGAATCATAGATAAAACATCTTTCAGAAATTAATAAACGTTGCTATAAAAAAAGGACCTTCATTCGCGTCTCTGACTATATCTTTTTTACCAGAAGATTGAAAAATATTGAAATTCGTGAGTGGTCCTGATTCAATGATCAAGTGTCACAAATAATTCTGCAAAACGATCAGATCGATCATTCCCTTTCATGGAAATATTACATTCAGATATTTCCAAGTATTACCATATAATTAAAAATCGCTGGGCGAATACTGTGAAAAATATTCAACCGGGTTAGGAGTCGGCAAACCTATTAAACGAAGACCGGCTTAAGGACAATTCAATTTAGTGGGCGGATTTAAATAAAGAGGCGAACTAGGAGAGTAACTGCAATTACCTCGCACGGACAGCTGAACAGCATACATCATTTTGGGCTCGGTGTTCACCTGGCATTCGTACTTGCCGCTGTCTGTCTTCCTAGCGTTGTCCAGCCTGAGCGTCCACGCGTCGCTACCCGGTGTATGCTGAGGCCCGAATCTCGTATCCGAGCTGAACAGAGTATTTCCCGACGTGAGAATGTGGAGGTCCTTGCTTCTCATCCAGGACACCTGAAACAAGATCGCGCAGGACGTTGAAAATACATTGTAATGGAATTACCGTCGTGTTAAACACGAACCTGCCATCAGGCCATGCAAATGCTTCTTAAAATTACTTTTCTAGTTTAAGAAGATCAACTTTGAGTTAATTTCAGCCATTGGAAATTAACCTAGGAGTATCCACTAAAATTTACTGTCGTTAATTTTTTCCAGAATCTTGACACGCTTGATCGATAATCGCTTAAAATATTTCCCAGTAATTTTACGGACTGTCTTTGGATAAAGACTTGCTTGCCTTTTTCAGAAAACCTACGTTCTGATTTCTACGGTAAATTTTATGCCTCGATCGTCGATATGAGTATTTTAGTATGTTTCCGAATAATTTTATAAATTGCAAGAAATTTTTGGTAAGATATATGGATAAAGGTTTATTTACTTAAGATATAGATTTGCAACAATGTATTTTCTGGAGGCTTGAACGATCTTCTGTAAAGTTTGTGGATGAAGACTTGTTTGTTTCAAAAACGACTCATTTTTATCTCTTTGATTTTCACACTTTAGTCGTCGACAGTTCCAGTGTTAAAATCGCAATTTGTCGAAACGAGAAACAAACAGATCGATCGACAAATGCAAGTATATTTATTGAAGCGAATGAATAAAAGCTCGCACAGCAAATGAAGAGTATTAATCTAGCCGACATAGATTCGTCTGATATGTACGACTACAAATGCGGTTTCCTCCCTTAAAACTGGAGCCATAGGAATGCACACTTGCGCCCCGTAAATCAGCGCTCTGTTACGACTTATTTCCTTTCCGCCTCGCTACTTTACACCCGTGTTACGAGCAACGTAATACATAACATAGTAACATGTTACGACGTCGTTACCTTATGGCCGAGATAAAGGATAGAGACTGTTAAAAAGAAAGTTCGGCCGCGAAGAGAAAAACAAGAGGAAAAGGGTGGAAGGGAGATACGTATAGGTGGAATTTAATGGAGCGACGCGTGAAAATCTCTATCGTTTGGAGAGAAAAGAACGAAGAGAAGAGAGAAGAGAACGAAAGGGAACCGAGTGAAAAGTTCGTATTTCCTTCGCCTCGTGTTTCCTTGTTCTCCAGCGAAATTTTATTTATCAAGACGAAACGCCGGGTCGAGACGAGGCGTCATATTATTTATGCTGGTATAATTTTATTATCCAACGGCGTAAACCGGAGAGACTGGTTCAACTATTTTTATCGTTTGCAACAATAACGCCGAGTAATTTAAACGCCAGTCCGAGTTAATATACGGTGCAATTACTCTTTCTTGCCGTGGAAAATAAAATCGCTATTTTCTTATGTCACTGGCAAGCACCATTAATAAAACGCAGCAATGAACCGGTCCAGCAGCTCCACGTTCCATAGTTAGAGCCACCTTTGACATATCTTATTGCTTCGGGCTAAATAATTAATCCTCCCCATCCTACTTTCCCACTTTCACTCCACAGTTCTGCTTAGGGGCGAGGGGAGGGGCCGAGCAAATGGGAGTTTACTGATTACTCAGTTAAATTCACGAGTTTCTCAACTCGCGGACTATTTCTTACGAGTTTCCCCGTAACTCGGTTCATCAATTCTTATGAGTTTTCTTCCTGAACACCGGCTACGTTCACGTGAAGAATTCGATCCTTAATTCGACTTGTTCGGTCTAAAGCGGTCCAAAGGTACTTGCGCTTGGCAAATATATCTTCGTCAAGATCACCGTCCACGTTTCTTCCAATTCGACGCTTCGAACGCGATGGCGTTTTCAGCTTCATGAGAAGCTCATTGGGTAGATGTTGAATATTCGTAGTTCGCTGAAAAACGACTTAATTCGACAAATAACAACGCCTCAATGATGCACGGTGCTCGGGCTAGTTGATATACCGAAAAGACGCGAAAATCACGATGGAAGGATGCAAAGTAGTCTCTATATAATTCCTTCTGATTATCCATTCCCTTTCGCATTTTCGTTCGTCTTGTTATGAGCAAAAGTTTCTGCGACCCTTGACGACAAGTAGCACACCTCTAGTACCGAGGATGCTTCAGAAAGCTGCGCCAGCCTTTCCTCTCGGTGCGATTAATATTTCGCGCGATTTTGACGGCACGAAGTTTAAAGGGCCAAAGGGAGAGGGTGAAATGTCAACGTTCATGGCAGCTGTCGAATACGCTGCTTACAATTAATATTTCTCACGACCTTGTAGACACGATCTTGAGCTTAAAGTCTTTGAAGATTGAATATGATCAGCGAATATTGCCTAAACACTCGATAATACTTCGTTGAATAGACTTAATATTATAATTACGACTAAGAAGTATGCACGTTATACTTAATGTTTTTCACAATTTTCAAGCAACTGAACTTAAAAACATCGTGGTAACGATCGGGTATGATCAGAAAATGCTGAGCTTATCCGATCACTCGACGATAGTTCGTAATAACGATCAAGTACGTTCGTTACAAATAATATCTTTCACGATCTTGATGATAAAAAGGTATAAAGCTTCATAGGGCCAAGAGAAGAAGGGCGAAGCGATAACGATTCGATAACGTGGCAACGATCGAACATATTCGTAGCAATTAATATTTTTCACGATCTTGAAGACAAGTAGCCCGAGCCTTAAAGGACGAAAAGAAGAGAATGAAACGACGTCGAAGACGGAACGACAGTGGCTCGTGGTAACGACCGAGTATGGTCAGTGAACACTGCTTATCCGATCGCTCGTATTTCTCAACGTTGGACGGGGCAAACGGTGGGATATTAGATATCCGGTTATCGGGCTGCAGTCATTTCCGATCTGCATCCAGTTGCCATTTTCCCATTGGTCGTTTCGCGAGAATGTGAGAGGATAAACGATCGGTCTGAATGATTTGTTTTGGGACAAGGGAAAGAGAAGAATGTGAGAAGGGGACGAGGAGGAAAAGAACGGTCGAAATGGCATGGAAGACGAAGAATCTAAATTGCGATCGTTCTGCGCGCGGCCTGGCGATTTTTAATAATGTCGTAATATCCAGGCAACGGAATCGAACCCGGTCCGCGACGTTTCGTCGCNNNNTTCGTCGCGAGACGGTGGGACGCAATAATCCACCGATGACAAAAAGAGGTACTAGTCCCTGCCTCGGATACATTCAGCCAGCCGTAGATTTATCGCCGTTATTAAAACAACCGTGGCGATACGAGCAGCAACCATGCTCGCCGGACGAGCGTAGATATTATTCAGTGAGAAGAACAAAAGAAGCTGGGATTAATCGGTAATTAAATCGACGCTGGGAAAACCGTAACGCTTCCGATATGCTTTTTATGCACCTTCTTCCACGGTATCCTACTATGGGAATCTTTTTTCAAACAATAACGTGGTGATAAGATACAGATGCAATCTGGTGAATCGGTAACATGTATATTTATCGAAGTTTATTTCCAAGTCAGATACTACAATGTTGTTAGGAACGCTTGAAGTCTCGAGGGATGCAAAGTCCGATGGACACATGGTTTTCGACGCTGTAAGATCTGTTTTCAATGGTCCATCGCTGTGAAATCGCTGTGAAAGTAAAGCACGAATGATTATATTGGTGAAATTGAAGAACAATCTGAACGTTTCCAATTAATATCATGTAATTTCTGTATACATTTTCCAAATTGTTTTCGGTATTCATCAATACGATGATGATAGTCGATTAAGTAGTATTAGGTTGTCCGGAAAGTGTCTTTCTTTTACAGGCACGCCTTTTACAACAACGCATCTTTATACAAATATGAAACCTAATTTGTCGAACGTTGTGATCTTTAGTTTGATGGAACAAAATGGATCATACGTAATTCGACGAAATAATATAAAACGGAAAATGTTGTGCATCCATTATTTCCTTATAAAACGAAAGAAACTTTTCGGACGACCTAATAGTAACAAAGTTAGCGTAACTTCAAAATGTTTCGTGTATACCTTCGCGAGCCTGTAGTATCTTCGTGTCTGCTATTTAATTTCAATCTTCTCTCCACAACGACAAACCCAAGAAAACAACCATTTCAGAAATCCATGCTCAAAATTGTTCAGGCAGACGTCGAAGGTAAATCGATGCAGGCCGCGCAGGACTGCTGGAAATCGGCTTTGTACATAACGAGAAGAAAATTCAGCGCCGCGTGCGGCTGATTTATACAATAATAACGTAAGCAGCACACGGCAGAGCGTAATGGTCCACGATGTGGGGTGGGAAGGCGGAATGTGAGCGGTGGGTCATAACGTTAGGGGGTGAGAAGAATGTACGGCGTGGCAGGGGCTCGGTGTATCACGGCATTTGGTCGTATGCCAGTTTACTCGAGTATACGAGTCGGATGGCACCAGAAATAGAACTGGCTTTGAGGTCGCGGCACGAAGAGAGCAAAAGATGGAAAAACCGTGGCTGGCGAAGGGGGTTGGTGTTTGCTCGCGCGGCTGGCGGGGAGACAAAAGGACGAGGCAATATACGGAGCCGGCATAACCGCTTTCATCTGCTACGTCGACACAGACCAGGGCCGGATAAAAATGCAACTCCTACCAAGCCGTTTCATCGCAACCTTACGAGCCTCTCTGCTCGTTCCTGGCGCTTCTCCTCGAGGAAAGAGCTACCTTATGGCCACCATTCAGGCAGCACCGAGCGACCCTACGTTTGGCTCGGCAGATCGACCGTGCCACCGACACGATTCCCTCTGCTCGAATGTTTCTTAAATTAGACCACGTTTCCGCGTCGCCGCGAGATCGACCTGGAAATTTTCAGCACTGCTTGCAACAATTTCAAGCGTCGCTTCAACTGTGTAACGTCCGTTCTCTTTGCGTCAAAATGAACCTTCCTCCGGGATAAGAATTCCGCCGCGGTATGATTACGAAATTGAGTTCCATTTGCTCGAAACTACGTCGGGAAAGTTTCATCGAATGAGCGATGTTTAAGTTTTTAGTGTTTTTATTTATACGTTTATATAATACGATCTTGTGCTCCGACAACTGTGTCAAAATGAGTCTTCAGA